GTCCTAATATATCTAAATATGTACATATGTATGATAAAATTTTGCCCTGTGTTTGCTCTGCATGTGAAATACCTATAGATCATAGATTAGTAGGAGGCTGTGCTTCATGATCGCACGAGAACCTGGATGTATTAGGGTTAGCGATCCTTCCTGTCTGCCCTTCATACCTGACACCTCACACAAATGTTGTGTCAAAAGCAAAGGGGATTGTGTCTGAAGTTGCAGATGATATTTTAGCGCACAATTTTATACTTAACTATAAGGAAAATATGTCATTATTTATTTGTTTGTATGTTTGTTTTTGATGAAGATGAATCCTTGTTCATGTTGTTTCTGTATGCAAAAGACTTCCTGGCCGTTTACCACATAACAGAACTCAAGCTAAATGATGCAGGGAGCCTTTTTCTACAGCTAATATAAAATAGAATGATACATTTACATTGTCAAATATTATACTCAGTGTGAAAAACAGATGTCATTATTTACAAACATACAAACATCATATTTATTTTCCTCGGTGTGCATTTATGGTTATTGAAGCCAGCACAGAGAGGAAACATCCTTTAATGCACATGCAGCAACTTTTACTGAAATAACACAGCATTTTGCTTCGGGGACATATGATGCTGTTCGCTTTCTCACTCCACCATCTCTGTGATACAGAATGAGACACAGAATGTGATCTATTTATACAGGCAACACACTTTGCTGCAGTGAGGAAGCATTTGTACGTTTGTATTTCTGTGTAGCATGCGTTTATGTGTTGAGAGAAAAAAAACGTGTTTTTCTCTTTGCCTTTGCACATTCCATAGTTTGTACTTTCTTTTTTGCTGTTATTCATGTGTGTGTATCTGCCTGTATCTATCTATGTGTCTGTATATGTGTATGTTTGTCAGTCCCCTCAGTTGCACCCTCTTCTGCGTCTAGTTTCCCAACTAAATACTAGAAGACAGAGAGGACTCACAATGCACGTATGTACCGCTCACATCTGTTCTCCACAGCCACTGACTGATAAAACAAAGAGAAATACTTTGTTTTTTGAATGCAAAATGCAATCAGTGGCTCAAACTGTCATTAAATCCTGTGTTGTTTAATATCCCCCTACACTGTGGGACAGCTATTATGCAAAGTTACTTCTTAAACGTATATATTTGGATATCTCAAGAGCAACAGGATGGTATAGAAAGAGGTGATGAATAGATGATGATAATTGCAGCAGGCACAATGAAAGCAGCTCCACTTTTGTGCGCTTGCTGCAAATGTTTATAGTGAAATGTGTGTGCTCCATTCTGTAATTGTTTTCAGTGTGTTTATCCACATCCTGAGCGTCCACATCAATCATGCTGTTGCATATCTGAGAGCTCTCCTCACTCTGTGCAAACTCACTCTACATTAGTTGTTCTTTCCCAAGCTGAGAGTTATTATGGTCTATAATTGGTGTGGCAAGCCAGGTGAATTCCTCCCCCACTTACTATCAAAGCACTGACAAACACAAAGTGGACGCCGATGAAACGTGAGCAAGAAACGTGGAGAGTGTGTGTTTTCAAATCCAGATGTGAGTCTTTGAGTGGGTACATGTTGGTGGTGAAGAGGCGCTGTAGACAACACTAAGAGCAATTTTGCAGGTGGCTAAATTGTGCGTTTTTTAAATGTTTTTACAGGCCGACCTCCAGGGACCTGGAGGAATCCAGAGCAGAGGCTACTTTCTCTATCGGGTATGTTTACATTTGTGCCACTAAAAAGGAATTAAAAAGCCTACAAAATAGGCAGAATTTGAAATTAAATTAAAAATTGTGTTTACACTTACAGCCACGGAATGGGAGAAGATCCTTAGAGTATGAATGAACTAAAGGTAAAAATTTGGTTATAGTTTTTTTCCTGCCTTCATGTTATGTTTGAAAGATTAAGTAATTGTACATGAAATTTAGAGTAGAAGAAAAAGCTCTAGGTAGGAGTTTATTAATGATTATGTGACTGTGCTAAAATAAGCTAAAATATCAAAAACCCAAAGGCACTTTCATGCACAGTGCGTTTGGCATGTACGTCTTCAACAATTAAAAAACTATATCTATTCCATAAAGGCATTTTAATTTTACATGAAAAGAGAGTGCTTTGGAGTTTTTGTGATATTTATCCTCTTGACTTTTGTACTAGACTCGTAGGACCGCGTTTATATGCAGTTTATATGTCAAATGCATGTATCTGTATCTTCTAATCATACACATCCTGCATGTGTTTTAGAGTCTCCACCTCTGAAGCTTAGTGTACAGAGACAAAACAGACCCTGAGACCCAGGCTGCTGCACCGCCACTGAGTGATCCAGACATCAAACACATCCCTCTGCCTCTGCTTTATAGTGATGTTTGAATGTACACAATGGATATTAATTAAAACACTATTAATTTATCCATATTTTGTTTTGTGTTATTAAAACTGCTATCTGTGGCTGGGTGTAGTTGTGTAATTTTGTTTCAGTGTGATTAGTTCTATTTCAGTACATTTGAAAACAGTGTAAAATAGAGTGAAGGAGTGAAGGGGTGAATTAAGTTTTTACATAAAATAGTAAGAGTAATTTAAACATGAAAATGGCTTTGTTTGATGTACAGTTGTATAATGTGTAATTTTAATAATAATAAAGTTACAGATGGTAAAGTAAGTTCCTCCTACTGCAGAAGCCTCAGGTGTTGAGGCTCTGATACTAAACCAGCACTATATCTGCTTGGTTTTCTGGGGGGTTGGCTGGGATATTTTCTTTGTTGTTCTCCACCTTTTGTGGTGATTTTTCATGTGTGTGACATCAGACAATTTATTAAGTACATCTGGAACTCCACCACCAGCCTGAACCACTGATAACAACGCAGGTTGGAACCATGCTTTCATGTTATTTACACCAAATTCTGACTCTACTCTCTGCATGTTCAGCAGAAATCAAGACTCATCAGATCAGACAATGGCTTTCCAATTTTTATTGTCCAGTTTTTGGCCACCTGTGTGATTGTAGATGACAGCAGTGACACCTGGTGTGGTCTTCTGTCGATATCACATGCTTCAATATTCAACATGTGAATTGAGAGATCTTCTTCTGCATTCCTTGGTTGGAATGAGTAGCCATTTGACTTAGTATTCATCGGGAAGGCGGTCTGGTCATTCTCCTCTAATCTCTGAAATCAACAAGGCATTTCAACCCAGAGAGTTGCTGATCATTGGATATTTTCTCTTTTACAGATAATCCTTGGTTTACAGAGGAAGTTGTGGTTAAAATCCCAGTGGATCAGCTGTTTATGAAATACTCAGTCCAGCCCATTTGGAAATAATAACCGTGCCACATTTAAAGTAACCTGAATTCCCCTTTCTTCCCATTCTGATGCGCAACATAAACAAATAACACGACCATGTCTACGTTCGTAAATACATTGAGTTGCAATTGACTGATTAGATATTTGGTTATAAGGTATTAGATAATTACTGGCAGGATTTTATTTTATTACTTATTTGGTCAATTAAAAGTGCAAATTACCAACCACGGAACACGAATGTGTAATTACTACTATCAACAGTAGATGTCGCTATCAGCAGCCAGTTATAGCCTCTTTCTTTGTATTCTGTTTTCGATGCTGGTGTGTCGCTTTAAAGAGGAAGGAAATGTATATAATGATGTTTACGCGCTGTATAGATCTATAAATAAGTACATTCCGATTATTTCACAAAGAGTTACTCACCTTTACCGGTGAGATAAGTGAATGAATTTAAAAGTGTTCAAATTCCTTTAGTTCATCGTGAAATATTATTGTTATGGCCTATCTTTATCCAGGCAAGTCTCACTGAGATGAAAAAAAAAACAAAACAACAACTCTTTTTCAAGAGTGACCTCACTATAATGATCGAGGGCAAACACTGTAATCAGTCTTTTGGGTATAAACAGTGACAGCACGATAAATAAGAATGTGTTTATCTTTAAGGCTTAATTAGTGTGCGAACCTAAAAAACAGAAAGAGCAGTTGTGTAAAATACCACAGGAGCTCTTGCCAAGTCAATAAAATCAAATCCAACTGCAGCATTTCACACAGGACACCAATCAATAGCCTCCAGAAAGGCTATTTCTTCTGTGTACTCAGTGGGTTCCAGCCAGACTGAAGACTATCATCACATAACTGGAAAAACGAAAAACGTTTTTTGACCAAATTGCCCGTCTGCCATCCTTCCTTAGAGATGAGCACATGTGAGCAAGAAATCATATAATAGCCTTTTTAATTGTTTTTGTAGCTTTGAAATTGTAAATAAAGCTCTGTGGTGATTTTTCTTATTGCTGCCTCTGTATGTTTGCTTAAATTTAAGACGCTTGCAGGGGAGGCTTGAAGAAGACGCAGACTGTGATAAGGTGATAATGCTGTAATTTATAGGGTTTATAAATTACAGTATTGTTCTTTGTCCCTGGCTTTTCATAATTAATCTTAAAACCGTTTTAAAGATAATTTACTGTGTAAAATCTGTTTGTTTTATCCCGAATAGTTAAATTTCTAAACCATTAATACTTGTGGTCCAGGCCAAACTGAATGCTCTGCTATAGACTGAGTTTTAAATGTTATAATTTGTTGGGGTTTGCAGTAGCCTAGGTATGACAAACTTAGGCGAAGTGTAAACTCTTTCTAATAAGTTTTGCAATTATTATTTTTTTCCTATTTAATTTAGAATCGTTTGGTGTACTACTCCATGTTTATTGCGTACAATTTCGGAAAGATTGGTTGTTTCTAATTCCTAAAGATCAGAAAATCTGTAATATCTCCCTCAAAGTATCGGAAAAGCGCCACACATCCTTAACGTGGCCAAAGGTGGCATTGCAGGGTTTGCTACTTCCTGTTGTCATGGAGATGAGTAGGCTACCCCGGAGTTGGCCGATAAACATAAAGACACACGTCCAAAGGGCAGACAGAGATAATTTATCGACAAATAATCCTGTCTTCAAACAAACTTGACACAAAGAACAACAACGATAAATAAGATATAAAACAATGACATATAAAATTACAACAATAGCTTTTATTTTGTCCCCTGGCTGTGAATTACCGCAAAAGTAACACGTGAGTCTGCTTGAGAAAACTTAGAAAGCGTAGGCCAAATGCAAGCGGAATTTATATTCTTTAAACAAACAAACAAAAAACACTCCTATGCATGCAGATCTTCTTTGGACATCAAACTGAGGAAGGAAAATTATTCAAATGACTAGTTTTGAAGTATGCACAATCTGAGTTATTACTTTTATTAGTTTAGTCACAGTTTTTTTCCAAGTGTGGTCGTTTTAGTTTAGGTTTCATTGTTCCATAATGTGCTTTTTTAAGTTTCAGTTTCAATTTTAGTTTATAGTCTTAGTTGCAGCCAGCCAATGAGGCGTATGTGTCAAGTGCAAGATGTAAAACATTTAGCACTAACATTTTAAGGCCTTTGACTCATAGTAATATAAAGACCTCAGTCTCAGTAAACACACACACACACACGTGTGTATATATATATATATATATATATATATAACACAATTCATTTTACTACCTATTTAAACTGATTATGTTTGATTAACTTGAACTGATTTGCATATTAAGTACGCTTCACTTAAAAGTGTAGTTTCACAGTTCTCATTTTTATTGTTTCAGGTTGAGTGTGAGGCCAACATTGTGATGTGAGTGATGGGAATGCATCAGTGTGAGAAAGGCTGCTAGTTGTTAGCTGAATACTGTGCATTTCTTTCTGTTTCTGTTAAACTGTGTCCACAGGTTTTGTTTTATTACCATCAGCCACGTCATGAATGTTGGCTGGTTGGTGCAGAGAGGAGTGACAAGGTATTGCATGCTTTATGTAAAAATAAAGCCGGATAGACGTCAAGCTCTTGACATTCAAATTTTGCAAAGCAAAAGTAATGCAGAGACCTGGTTTTGATAGGGTCACTCCATCTCAGCTCAAAAAAAAAAAAGGGGGGGGGGGAGAGACAGAAAACTCCCTACAAGTTTCCCTGAAAAATGACAAAAAGAATCCAGGGGAGAGGTTTTAGGGTTAGAGGAGGTGTTTATAGATGTCTTTCTAGCTCTGTGTAATATGGGCTTAGGCTATGTGTAATAAAGGTATATGAAAAATTCACAATGGGAAAATGAGAGTGATCATCAAATGGCAATTAACAGAAATTTGCTCTTCTTTCTAAAAAAGATGATTTGGAAGTGACAGGGTCATACCTGGGGAATAACACTGAAGATAGATGAATTTCTTCTGCAAATCAAATAACAATTGTCTACACGCAGAATTACAATTGTCACAGACTTTCAAGTCTGCTGTCAGAGGCTGGACATCTTAGGGACTGTGTTAGCTTGAGCTAGAGAGTTGAGTCATCATAGTAACATTAAATCATGGTAACATATATTTACCCTAAAGCAATGGACCTATAACTTCATGTTTATTAGATAATGGAATTAAAGTGGCCCTGCTGTAAAAACAAACAAACTAAAAACAAAAATAGGAAGGACCGGAAACCTTGCAGTATTCCAAAGAAGTGTCGCTTACTCCTGGAATTTTTTCCCCCGGTAAGTCTTAAAAGTTCAAGGTGGGAGGAATTTGATGGACTGAGAGGGAATAATTGCATAATGATCTAATTTCTTTAATCACATTCCTGCATATAAGCTCACTCCCTTCCAGTTTATGGTAGGCTTAGTTTATTTTCATGTTTATTTAATTACTTACTTATTAGATGTCAAAAAAATCCACTAAAACATTTTTTTCTTCTTAAAGGTTTAACAAATTCAGTATTTTAACTATTTTATGGCCAGTCTATTAAATATGCCATAATCAAGTAGACTTCAAAGTTAAAGACGCATTAAAATACTATTGTCAACTCATTATTTACACGTTATTTAAGTTTAAAGCTAGGAGAATGGCGACGGGAAAATAAATCAACGGAAAACATTTGACTTGTCCTTAAAGGCATTTTGAATACACAGTAATCAAAATACAGAGACGTTATTCAAAAATATTTGAAGCATGAAAAAAATTAATCTGCTGAGCTGGAGGAGTTACTTTCATTTTTGGGACTTCTCTATTAACTTTTTACGGGTAATGTAATGTAGGTAAATCTGGATTTGGATCAGGCCTCTCCAGCCAGGTGTAATTTATGTGTAAACAGTGGATCTGTAGGGAGGTAGGCTCTCTTGGCACCGTTTCCAGCTCCAGTGAGTCTGCCTGAGCGCTGCGCAGTCAACCGTCTGCAGCGCCACTGGCTGCAGGGATATCCCGATGAAAGAGGAGACTGCTCGGGGTAAGTGTCAACTCGCAACCGTTTGGTTCCGCTCCGTATTTGTGCCGCTTTTATCCGCAGCTTCTGTGTATACTATCGACAGACGTAAATGTGTAAACGGAACAGTTTTGCTTCGGCTTCTTTGGTGACAGAGACTGGCCAAAGGCCCGGTGACCCACATTCTTATCTAATGCTGCACGTTAGCTAGCTAGCTTCAGCTGAAAGTGGGTTGACACACATACAGTACATTGTTGCCGACGAGTCAAACGCGCTACCTTCTATTATAAAGTCGCGAGTCAGCGACGTACGATACAGACAGGTATGTTGTTTTATCTTCTTCTTCTTCTTCTTTTTAAATCGGGTGTACATATATTCCCAGTGTGTGTCACACGTCTCGGGAAGTGTGTTAAAGTATATAGCTATCGGTTTGTTGCTGTAATTGGCGTTAGCGAAGCAAGCTAGGTGGCGTTAGCCTCCAGGCAATCAGTACCCGGTGTACCGGCCGGCATCACAGGCAGGAGGAGACGGAGGGAAACATGAGCTGTATCTGTGTTTGTCGCGTCAAGGTTCAAGCTCAGTTGATTTTTACAAACGCTACCACCGTGAATACCTCATCGGCACATATTTCTATATTTACGCGTCTTTTTAAAAAAAAAAATTAATTTAGACGTATGTCTTTTATTCCCCCCTCTGTGTTAATCTTTGTGACTCTTGTCATTTCTCTCAGATTTTGAGCCCTATATCCGCCCCGGGTGCTCCTTATTCACCTGTTCTAAAATCGATCGCGTCTCATCTTCTGTCAGTCTGGTCCAGAAGTGTCTGGACACAGCTGGATCATAGCTTGTAGGTGCTAATGAGAAACTGTATAGTCTCATACGGGTGTCAGCAAAGCTTTACTTGCTGCGTTGCTGACACTGCTGCCTGCAAACTGAACACAGTGGAGAGCTGTGGCAGCCCTATGATATAAAAAATAAAGCAAGATTTGTTTTTCTGTAATTAGAAATAGATTTTTACAGTAATTTATTCTGAGCAAGACACCAGTAACCACGCTGTATTTCTGAAATGGTCACTTCAAAGCTAAGGTTCTCTCTCAGACTTTTTGTTTTTCTTCCTTTTTTGTTGTCCCAGAATAAAGAGTATTTCTCCTTTTGACACTAATTGGATACACAGAAGACTTTACTAATCAAAGTTATTTGATTCTGTTTAGTTAAGTTCAGATTTAATAAAACATGACAGATCTGTTTTTATACAGTACATAAACTGGTGACTAACATGCCAACCTGGCATCTTTATACAAACGGTATTGAAATGGTTTATACGCTTCACTTTGTGCACTCTGTTCATTTCGAGAACCACAACTGCAAATCAGTATTTATTATTTGTCACTGTCATAGCTTTTTAATTGTGGGCAAATGGCATAGACTTTCACTTAAGCCTGGAAGCTGAAAAATACCTTTAATTACAATGCTGTCTGTTGTGATTAAGAACAACTAGAACCACTCTTAAGGTTGTGTTTTTTTTTTTTTCTTCCATGCTTGTCCTTTATTTTTTTGCCTGTGGTGATGGGCAGTAAACGCAATAGTGGGGATTTGATTTCATTGTTAATCATTAAACTAATTAAACTATCAAGTTGGTATCTTCCTTTTTATCATCTTTCTATAGATATATACAAGTAACAGATATATCTAATTGGCATGATATTCATTGACTGATGAGTAACCGTGACTGTAGAGAAGTACTAACCTGAAGTAATTTGGGAGCAGTTTCCCTCTTCCTTTGTTTCTCTTACAACGGAAAATGTTCTAATAATGGTCGGAAAAAAGATGGATCAAAGGCATCTTAGTGTGTGTCTTTGATTACTTTAAATGTGTCTAAATGACTTGTTGTTTTCAGAATTTTTAAGTAAAAAAAAAAAGGGTCCAGTGTTGGTCAAGCTGTATTAACTGATAAATCTTTGGCAGCTGTGTTTACAGACGGTATAGTCTCTTTACTCCATTTTTGCCCATAAATAGATGTTGAAGCTGTTAGCAGAGCATGGAAAAATACTTTGACACCTTTTTAGTTGCTGGCACTACATTGTGCTGCAGGTAAAAGGAGGAAGCAGAAATTTTCTCTTTCTCCACTTTCTCTCTGCTTTGGTAGATTAGATTTTACTTGTGTTATCTGTTTCTACTTGGCATCTTAATTTAAGCGTCACGTTTTTTCTACTTTATTCTAAAACCTCAACTGCACATTTACATTTACAGGGAATAAGTGTTTTGTGCATTAGATGCTGTGGCTATTTGGAATAAAAAGCAGCAGTAGAGCATGGCAGATTTTCTTTAAACGGAGGAGGAGGGACTGGCAACACCGTGAGCTATGACGGAGGTAGAGGAACACATACAGATTATATTATTACCTGCTATGCCTAATAATGTAATTACTGAACGCCTGTCATATCAAGTTTTCCTGATAGAGAGGAGCCTGTGTTGATTCAGTGCAATGTTCTCTGGCAGCTTTCAGCTATTCAGAGGACAGATAAAAGGTAATGGCACTACTCGGGCTTTATATCTATAGTTGATACTGTTAGTCAGCAGATTGGAGTGCTGTGCTGAATTTTGGAAGTTGCATTAGTCAGTTCACATTACAGAGTTTGTGTTTTGCTTGAGTAATCATTGATGCCATGAACTTGGTGCATTTGTTTTGAATGTGAACTGCACACTGTGTCAAGGATGACTACTATAGCATCGTGTCCTCAGGGTCATTTTCCTCTCAAAATCTGTGCTACAGCATCCATCTATAGAATTCAAGCACCAGATTTCCATTCAGAAGTCTTTCGTCCAACCCTGTCTTAGTAATATTATGTTTCTTAAGTTCCTAACCATGTCTTTGCTGCATTTTGTCAGACAAACTAATTGCTTTGTTTTCAATCTCTGCCAGAGGATGACTTCTAAAGCCTTTTTCAGATGAATCTCTTGCTTGTTGCTTGTTGCTTTTTTTTTTTCTTTTCTTCAATTACTACAAATAATTATTGTATGAGAGTTTTGGCTGTTGATGGGTTTTACATCTGAAGTTGTTACTGAAAACAGGAGTTGATAAGTCAGCATTTAACTTGACCTAAAAACCTGAAAAAATTTGACAGGTATTTCCTCTTTTGATGTGAAATGCAATTTCACAATGACTCAGAGGTTTCAATTCTTTTGTAATGAGATAGATCGACTTATCATTACAGCCATTTATTATGCTGATTTCACTAGTAGGGAACCTTACTGCTGTTTTAATAATTTTTGTTGTGTCATTTGGATTGCATTGCCTGTTGAAGTTGTGTAAGATTTTGTTTCTGCTGAAATACAATATCCATCCATTAAGCTATCTATCCATTGATCCATTTTTCTGCAGTTTATCTGCAGAGGTTTCCCTCTTCCCAGCCAACTCCTTCAGCTAATCTGGGGAAACACAAAGTGTTCCCAGGCCAGCCGAGAGATGTAATCTCTCCAACTTGTCCCGGGTCTACCCTTGGCCCTCCTTGCAGTACGACATGCCCGGAACACCTCACCCAGGCAGCAAAGTCAGATGCCCAAACCACCTAAACTGGTTTCTTTCTCTGTGAAGGAATAGCAGCTCTACACTGATTCCCTCTTGTAAGAACTCCTTACCCTATCTCCAAGCCACCTTTCAAAGAAGACTCATTTCTTCCACTTGTATCCGCAGTCTCATTCCTTTAGTGACTACCCAAAGCTTATAGGGACATAGATAGACCACTAAATCGATAGCTTCAGTTTTACGCTTAGCTCTCGCTTCACCACGACAAACTGGTGCAATGCCACAGTCAGTCTTTTAATCTCCCGCTTCCCTCACTTTGAATAAGACTCCAGGATATTTGAATTTCTCCACTTGGGGCAACAACTTGTCCATAATCCACAGTAGGTTCCTGCCGAGAATGTTTTGGCCCCTAAGGCCTGGCCACTAGATGCTCTCTCTTGAGCTACCTCTCTTGGCTCCAAGGTTGGGCCCCAGTAACCACAGTAATTTCTTTTCACAGGGTACTCGGAATCGCTCTTCATTTGTCTCCCCACCCAGGGCCAGTTTGCCTTAGGAGACCCAATCAGGGCTAAAGCCCTTGACAGTATAGCCCCTGGGATCACAGGGACACAGAAACCCCTTCCACTAACATAAGAGCGATTTATCTTGGGGTGAAATAAAGTGGTATTTGTTTAAAAACAAACAAACATTTTAACTGCTAACATTTGATGTTTACACTTGATGAAGCCAGTTATTCAAAAGCTCACTAACAGAAATCAGCTACTAGATTGTTTATGTTGACTGTAATGAAGTGATATGTCATGCTGTTCTAAAGCAGGCTACGCTTTATTTTGTTTTTGATGGTAGTTAAAAAAGACTGGAGGTCAGTGGAATAATAACAGTCCACCTTTAATAAGAAGACCACATTATAAGATCTAAATACATTTATCACTGTTTTTTGTAGTAAATAATAATGTATTATAATAAATATGATGTAAATATTCTCAAAATAATTTTCAAACATCAAGATGGTACACTGTTAAACAGTATATTTTTCTTTTGAAGTTTTATTGAAACCAACATATTAATTACCAAATTAATGAATTATGTGTTGGCTCATAATTAGTTTTTCACACAGAGCAGTGGCAAGTGAAATATTAACAAGCTCGTGAAGATTTCTCTTTGCTGTCCCCAAGCCTTTAGAGGACAATGATCTCTGACAGCAGCATTAGTTGCAGAGAAATCCTTTCACCACACAGGGTTGTTTGTGTCACACTGACCTTTCACTGAGAGCTGAGAGGATTTTTCCTCTTCATTCACAGACTTTGTCAGCAGTTGTTTCTTTGTGTGACCTAAACACTAGTTCCATTTCTTAGTAAACAATTTATCTCTTTGGCTCAGTATGCGCAGTGATATCGGAGTTATGGGAGCTGACGAGGTGCAGGCGGAAGCTTGTTTGATGTTGAACTTTTGAACTTGTAAAAATGTGTTGCTGAGATAACAACTGTATATCTGTGACAGATATAAGGACTGAACTATATACTTATGTTTTTATTATACTCATTGTTTGTGCTTTACCAGAATGGATAATTAGTGAGTAGTAAAAATACAGTGCAGTCTTGCTTATGTTTCACCTTCTTTTTGCTGCTAGTAATCTATTGGTTTAATTATGATATTATTGTAAGTTAAACATCATAAATTAAATTTAAATGCAGTAAAATCTTTAAATATACAATACAGAGCAAAGGTAACTTTTTTTGACAGCAAGTAATTCTTGTAAAAATAAAGAAGCTGATCTACATGGAGATTAGGTGGAATTGAAAACTGTCTTAGAATGATGCTACTATGATGAAGAAAAAAATAGGTCAAGTCTACTGGGGTTTCCCTTAAAAGTGACGTTAGTATACCAGCAACTTCACTAATGATTTTGTATTTCTGAAAATGACTCGTTATTTTTTTAGTAAAAGACAAAAGCACAGAGAAATGTGACAAAAACCAAATAGATGATTTGTAAAAAGTTTTTTTTTGTGTTGGAAAATGTGGAAGTTGATCAGTTGCGTCTTGTGCCAATGTTGCCTAAGCTGAACCCAAGTTTTTACATTGATGCTTCCAAGTCTGTACTTACACATATTTGTATGCTACTGTTTGTTTGAGGTTATGACTGTTTGCACCCTGTAGGCTGTAAAAGCATCATGATTCTATTTAATGATAAGAAGTCAGTTAAATATAGACGGTAACTAGAACATCCATTCATTATTGCTGAAACAATATTATTACCTGTGGAGTTTTTCCACATATAAAGTAAATTAACATTTGTAATTACCAGCATTAAGTTGGGCGCCAAGCGAGATATTAAACAACTTTTGGCTGCAGCTTCATATTTTCTAGAATATTCTGTTTTGCTCAGTTTCTTTCTGTTTAATTAATGCATTTAAGATTTTTAATAGTTTTTTTTTTTTTACCAAGATATTGATTTAATTTCAGGCAAATGTGACATTTTTGTTGACGCTATTTTCTTTTTTTCTTAACTAATGAATTGGCAACTGAAAAATAAAAATAGTTAGTGGATACTTTTCTGTGGACGAGTCCGCACAGTTACAAGAAAATAGACATTCAGGCATAATATGTGACAATAATTATTGTAAGTAAGTAAAGTAAGTAAGTAAAATGTATTTATATAGTGCTTTTCACAGATAAAAATCACAAAGTGCTTTACAACACAAGAAATGGAAATATAAAACAATGTAACAGTAAATAAAACAACAATGTAAAACAATAAAAACAACATAAGAGGAAATTAATAAAATGCTTTTGTATTTAAAAGAATCAATGGAGTCCGTGCAGCGTAGAGACAGTGGAAGAGAATTCCACAGCCGTGGTGCCACTGCCTGAAAGTGCGCGGTACCACCAGCAGTCTCTGATATAATGACCTTAAAGCTCGAGAAGACGAATGTGGTTTCAGCAGGTCGATAAATATTGGGGAGCTTGACCATGTAGGGCCCTAAAGGTTAGAACTAAAATTTTAAAATGAAACCTAAAACTTACAGGCAACCAGTGAAGGGAGGCTAAAACTAGAGTAATATGAGATCTTCTCTTGATGCCTGTTAAGAGAGGTGCTGCAGTATTCTGCACAGTCTGAAGACGATTTAAGGCTGATTTGTTAAAACAAGTAAAAAGACCATTACAGTAGTCTAAACGGGAGGAAATAAAATCATAAGGGTCTAGGAAGCTGATATGCTGCCTAATTTCTGAGACCATGTGGCCTGGAGCAATAATTAGAGTTTCAGTTTTATCACAGTTTAGTTGGAACCGTGGTTAAATTGTCATTTAACCATGGCTGATTTCTGTCAGGCAATTACTTAAATTAAACAATTTCTAAAACTCAGAAATCCTGAAGGAACAGTATAGTTGAATGTCATCAGCATAGAGATGATAGGAGATATTTTTATAGCGCTTAATAATTTGGCCTAGGGGGAATATATAAAGTAGAAAGAAAATTGGACCCAGGACAGATCCTTGAGGTACCCCACATGGCAAAATTGTTGATTCTGACGTCACATGATTCATGCAAACAGTAAAAGATCTCTAAGACAAATATGGTAAATGGTATTTATATAGCGCTTTACTAGTCCTTAAGGACCCCAAAGCGCTTTACACATCCAGTCATCCACCCATTCACGCACACATTCACACACTGGTGATGGCAAGCTACATTGTAGCCACAGCCACCCTGGGGCGCACTGACAGAGGCGAGGCTGCCGGACACTGGCGCCACCGGGCCCTCTGACCACCACCAGTAGGCAACGGGTGAAGTGTCTTGCCCAAGGACACAACGACCGAGACTGTCCAAGCCGGGGCTCGAACCGGCAACCTTCCGATTACAAGGCGAACTCCCAACTCTTGAGCCACGATCGCCAGGCATAAACCATTTTAAAACAGTAATCCCAAACAAGTTCTTGAGTCTGTTTATCATGCTACTGTGATCTACAGTATCAAAAGCAGAGCTGAGATCCAACAGAACCAGAACTGTGTACTCTCCAGAGAGTATCTATATAACTAGATACTCTGAGTAAGGCCGTTTCAGTGGAATACAATTTACGAGTGTGGTGCTGAAACACACACGCACACTCGCACACTCCTTCAGCATCACTTTTTCTTACGATTGCACAAACTAACATTCAGGTTAACATATTTTTTTATTTATGTTATCCGTAAAGAGACCCTTTCAAAGCTGGTGAATGAAGTGTGTGTCATCTTATTTCTGCAGTGCTGTGGGAGGCTCGTGATGACCCAGATGTTTTAGCTCTGAGTCAGTGATGAGACTCTTTTCTCAAAGCCACCAATTTGTAATTTTCTTTCTGTTCAACAGGTGAATTCGGACAAGTTTTAACTACAAGTTTTAACTATATTGAGGTGGAGGAGTTGGCGAATTAAGCACCACTCAAAGACAAAAGGTAAGACTTTCTTGGAAATTAACCACTGAATTTAGCTCCGGGTTGCAGCAGTGGACTGTTTAGAGCTTGTGCATATTCGCCTGGGTTAATTAGGCTGTTTAAAGTCTAATTCATCAGAAGCTGTTACAGAGCTATTATTCGTCCATGTTTCAGTGGTGCTCTATTTTTGATTTGCAGTCTGTCATGAAAATGATGAATATGGAAATGAGAATGGTGCTGGCTGAGTCACCAGAGAATTTCAAATGAATTTGTCATGCGAAGATGCAAAGTAGTTCAGTTCTTTGACTACATCTTGCTATAACCTTGATTAACTTCAGACAAAAGCTCTATCACTACTGTTGTTATACACACATTGTGTCTCGTTAAGCTCTCTAAAGGTATATTACAAGAGGCCTAGTCTGGATAAATGTAAATGTATAATCTATTGTATGTATTTATCTTTTCCTGCTTAATAGTTAAAACTAAACTGAATCTCTCTTTTTCATATTTTTAATCTGGATTCCCTGTGTTACTCTGTTAAATATTAATTAGATTAAGCTTAAAGTATAGGTTTAAGGTGGCCTTAACCCATAATAATTAGCTTTTGTTAAAGACAGCTATGTCCGTGGCTACAGACATAGCTGATTAGATGCCATACTGTTGGGTAAATCAGACCCAAGATGGGTTGTTTAAATAAAAATATCAAAATCAATAGAGAAGAACCAATGATATTTATTTTTTTTATTGCCACCATTCTTCTTTTATGTCATAATATTATGCACGATGTTTTTCAGCAGTTTGGTGTTAACTCAGAGTCCTTCTAGAAAAATCTAGAATCTAGACATCTTGGAAATGCCTCCAGGCAGTTATTTGAAGCTCTTTTGTGAATCAGTAGGAGAGAGCCTGAGTATAATAATTTTAAAGGTCACTCTGACTTAAAAACTAAAAGTACAGAAACATCACTCAAATGAGATTGAGATTTTTATATTAAAAAAACAACAAAAAATTGTTTTGGCCCAAATTAAGGTGCAAGTTATTCTTCTACAAGACGTGTCCATAGTTTTTGACAACATCATGGTTTTATTAACAACTTGATTCAGAGCTCAGTGTCTGTGGATCATCAGACTAGACTGTTATAGAATTGACTAATATATTTTTATTTTTTTGGATTTTGTATTCATCATATCACTTTATGACTCTGGTTATGCCAACGATGACTGATATAACTTCAAGTACAAATGGGCTAGTAGCCTCTTTCTTTTCTAACTCACTGTTCTTTTTAGTGTTTGCTGTAATTGTTTCATAAGAATATACATTATACACATTGAAAAAGACTTAATGTGGTGCAGTACATGAGGGAAAATGTTTTATTTGCACACATCATTGACATTATTTGACTTTGTCCAGTAACGGCAAGTAAAAAATAATGTTTTATAATTATTTATTCAGTGCAGAAAGGCGTTGGATTTGGGGGTCTTTATAACAAGTGTTATTATTAGGGCTGAAATTCATAGAAATTGTATATCTAACATTATATCTGCTATCACAAGCCACGGTCATGGGATTATTAACTATCATTGCAATTTCCTCTTTAGTTTGTATGGAGCGAAATTCTTTTATTTTTAAACTTTAAGTCACAACTGATGCTGCAATTATATGGGGAGACTTAAAATACAACTGCACACAGCTTGCTAAAAATATGTATAATCGGTGCAATTCCCATTTCACGTAATGGCGTTAATGGCATACAAGCATTTCCCTTTATTATGGAACTTTTGCTCAAACAAAAGTGGACAGTAGATGTTTTATAGTTTAGAAGCTGAGGGGTTGTTTAGTTTTAATCAAAATGACAATTTCTTGTTGTTCAAACATTACCTTTTTATGCTAACACTGTTTAATGAAAAATGGTAAACCGTGTAACATCTTCAGAATGATTATTTTCTGCCTGTAGTCAAAAGATAATATGGTTTAAAACTAAGACTGGATTTTTGTACATACATTGCAGAAATGTCCTGTTACATTCAAAGGCTGAGCTAAAACCAGATATGGCTATCTTTGGCTATCTCTGAAAAGTTCAGTCAATCAATCAATAAATGTAGTCCAGCGTAGTTAATGCCAAAGAACACTGTAGATAGACATGCCCACTGCATCCGCTTTACTTTATTTCTAATGATTAAACAATAGCTCAACTGACGTGTAAGGATGTTTGCTACATTGCATATCTACACAGGTCTTGTTAGACTTTTAGATCCCATGTCACTTGTTTGTGAGTTCTGCATGATGAATGATGTTTAATTTAAGCTTGTGTAGTGGCAGACAACGGAAGAGTGCACTCTTTATCTGAGATTAACTCCAGTCAATAAAGAGAGATTTTGGCCAGAGCAAAGTTGTTTGGGTGTGCCCTGATATATTAATCTGTGGAAAATAATGTTGCTAAGTCATCTGGAAAAGGAAAAGCGCATAATCTCAGACAGAGCAGTCAAGTAATATCATTACTTGTGCAGGTTTTCTACTTGTTCAGTTTGCTCAGAGGGCTACTGCTTGTACGGTGGGAATGCAGTGTTGATTCTTATTTAAGTGGTTGTCTTCTTGTGGTCAAATGTTGGTCATATAGGGCTGCAAGTCCACGTTTAATTTTGATTGCTTTCCCCATGCTGCCAGTCGTCCTCCTGAACTCCAGTGACCCACTTGGCGTCAGGATTAGGCCCCTGGCTCAGGTCCTGCTCTTCTGGGAGAGGAGGGCAGCAGTAGTCAAGGGGCCCCTGCCAACCACTGCGGCTTGTGTCTCAAAGATTCCTGTCTGTGGATTAAAAATGCAAAACAAAGACTCCTTTTGTGCCGCTGGGCCTGAGGATGTGTGTGCAGTGAGTGGAAACACAGCTGGCTGCCCTGTGTTTAGTTTGGTTGGTATAACTGTGCAGCAGACTGGTGGGCAATGTTGACAAGCTTGTGCTGTGGATTTTATTGCTTACAGGCCAAATGAGTATGACATTATTAAAACCATCAAATCTTCCACTAGCCACAGGAAAGACTGCTCTGCCTGTAAACTGAGAGAATCGCATCATTAATTGCTGTGTGAATGCCACTAGGATGTGCAGACCTTGAAGCTGCCTCTCACAGGATGTGTGACTGAGTAATTTATTCACCAAAGTGTTGTTGTTGATTTGTGTGACCTGCTTGGCAGTGAGGCTGTTGCTGTTGCTGCTTGTTAAAACTGCATAATATTATCCTAGATATTTGCTATCACTTACAGCAGAATGAACACCCTCTCTTCCTTATGGCTTTCTAAACCCTGCATTGTGTCTGTTTTGCTGAAAATTGTGTGAGAATAAAGGGTGAGGCTTATAAGCACCACAGGTTTTTAAGTGGTTGACAGACTTTCAAGAAATCTTGTTAAAGCTGTGGTCTGTGCTCCCACACTTGGGATCAATGAGAGTTCACCCATCCCCTGTTCTCAGGTATCGGGGTTTTGACAGATGATGGGGAAAACACAAAGGTTGCTATGAAACCAGAGTTCATCTACTCATGTGATATAAGACCTGCTGGACAGTGTTATCTGTAGTTTGGGTTCAAAGTTTCACAAAATGTCCCTTTTTAAACTGTTTTGCCTTAACATTATTTAGGGCACTGGGTCATATTTTAGACTTGAAAAGCATCTAGAGAGCCATTAAATTAGGTTTCTAACAGGCTGGAAGAATGTTCAAATGAATTGGACTTAAACTATGAGGATTGTTTGCAAGACTGTCTGGTTTGGTGCACAGACAACTTCCTGAGTTAAATATTTAGTTATAAACTGACTGGTATGCAGAATCTTTTGAGATGAGATTTTTTGATACTGTTTTTTTTTTTTCTGGTTTCTGTTTGTTTGTTGTTGAATAATGCCCAGACAATCACGCATGGTTGGGAGAGCAAAGAGGTAGCATTCCTGAAATGGAATCATTGTTACTTTTGACAGCAAACTCTGATTTAGTCTTTTGACTAAATTGATTTGATTTTAATTTTAGTCATAATTGAGGCATCTGTTTTTTTTTAGTCTAGTTTTAGTCAACTAAATATCGTAAGATTATAGCTGAGTTAAATATATAATGTGTAAATTTTGATAATAAAAGTGATTGATAATCAATCTAATAAAACCAGGAAGTCTTGGCTCAAATATTTGGTGTTAAAAGCGTCACATTCACAGGATAAGTCACTGAAAATAACTGATGGGTTTTCTGATGGTCTTGTCTAGATTACTGATATATTTGTTTTTTATGAATGTAAAAGGCAAAAACTTTTCATTCGCATCTGTCAAGCTGCGCATCTGCAAGCAAGCATAACTGCAGTCTTCTTGACTTCTTTGAATGCTTCGAAGACAGAATACTGATGAATAACACCATAACAAAAGGTCTTGTTTTAATAACATTGTGAGGGAGAAAACATTTTCATCCTGACATTTTCATTTTAAATAACCATGACAGGCGGAGCTGTCTGGGGCTTTATTGTGCATCTGTATTAGTAGCTGCTGCTCCAGCCTGCATATGAACAAATGGTTCCTGCTCTCATTAGAGTGGAATATAATCATTATACAGTTATTTAATACTGTCCAGTGTAAACTAGGGATATTCCCTGTGACTAATTTACCAGTTGTTTATTGCTATAGTCACATTAGGCATTCGGAAATTGCGGCATAACCAAAATTATTGCAAACAACCACATAGACATGTCGCAGGCAATTTGTGCTCACCAGTGCAGACTGACTAAGATTGAGTGCAGCATTTTGGCATTGAATTGGATGAGAATTAATAATAAAACTTTCACCAGTCTGTCTGATAGTAATTCTAGTCATTCCATGTCACACTGCAATTGTTGTGATTGAGACAGGTTTCCCTCCACTTAGCGGCCTTTGTAGTAGTTTTGTGATTGAAAGCGGGTGCCGAGAGGTTGCTGCACGCTCAGAATCTCTGTGTAGTTGGTGGAAAATATTCAAAGCAATCACCACTGATGATGTTTATTTTATTTATTTAATTTTCTCTCTTGTA